TCATATTCCATAGTTTGACATTCCTGTTTATTTTGAATAATATTAATTTCCTCTTATCCACACCATGAATGTGTATTGTCTGTTTCATTCAGCAGGTGAATGACTATGACTGTCTTCATATGTTAGAAGAGAAAACAATTGCTTTACTTTTGTATTTTGTTGACAAATACAAGCTATACAGTGACTTGAAATCCACATTAAAAATCCTTTTTTCCCAGTGTGGTTCCTTAACATCAAGGTCTCAAAAGATATTCTGCTTTCAGTTAAATTACTCAATTCTCTGTTACTTACTTCATTAATGTGTACATTTATGTTAGTACCAAAAATTGTAACACTGTCAGGCAGGGTAATAGATGTTAAGCAGTGCTTGCTCTGCATTGTATTTTTAAGCTGAGATCCATTTTCAATAATTGCATCTAAGGTATTTGAGTTCCAGTAACTACAAGTTGAAATGATTGAGTAACATAAAATAAAGAACTACTGCAAAACAGTAGTCTTTGTAACACTTGTGTTGACCTGATATCTCTTTAATACCTCTTTTACATTGTTGCTTATTGGCATATCATATTTTGTAATTTGTTAACCTTTTAGTTCATACAGATCAGTCGCTCCATATAAACTTTGAAAGTGATGCACTAAGTTGTCTGTAGATGATATATCTAATAGACCACATGTCCCTCAAGAGTGACTTTTACCTTTAAACATCTCTAGCATGTGAGTCAAACACTTAAAAATGGCCATTATAAGCACAGTAACTAATACCCACAGCAATATATCCAACTGTTAAAATATATGACCTATATCATTTTGATATCAATGACTCAAAAGCTCTTTTCAGGCCCATACAGTACTGATATCCCTCAATGGTAGGCTCACCATGGACTATAACTTTCACTGTATTCTAGCTGGTAATCTTCCTCTAGTACTGTAAGCATTGATGGTAAATCTGTTAGCAGTAAAAATAATTGTCTTGATCATTGTGACAAACTGCTATATAGTTGACTTCCGATGTGCATTATTTGTTTTGATTCATAAGGATTGCCTATTCCTTTCATATTGTGGTATATTAATCCACATAAACTCATTACAGCACATTGTTGCCCTGTATTTTGTCCGAAAACAACAACATCCCCTTGACTATATGGTGCTTTCATTGTTTTCCTGGGATCCACAAGGTGCATACAACGAACAGGGTTTTCTCTATATCAATATAGAGCTTGTTCTTTGTACAATTGCCTCTGTGAATTACACCCTTGTACTCACTATATGGGAAATTACACAAAAAGAACCTTAAGTATTTGAGATATTTCTTTCCATGTTTATCTCTACTTGAATTATAGACACATCTCATTGAACAGTTAACGTTTCTTGTTCTGAAAACTGTCACATGACATTTTATTTAGTTCTAGTTGCTTTAGATAGTGAACATTTGTGCAAGTCTTACATCATATAGTAACTGGTGATTTACTTTTCTCTACTGCTTTTAGAGAAGCTCTATAAAGAGCCCGCTGTCTGTGTACCAACCTACGCGCGGCTTTCTGAGATCGCAAATAGCCTGGGCTTCGAAATGGAAGAGAGTGAGCTGATGGCTTATCGAGGTAGGAATCTTGGTGATGAGGTACTGGTAATAATTTGATGTAAATTGTTATCTGAGTTCATCAATTTAATTTAGTTCCAACTTGGTCGGAGAGAAAGCAGCATAAACCAATATCGATGGAACACGACTTAACTTGCCACAGGCTTCCATCAATTACCCCTCCCCCTCTCCATTGCAAGAACTAGCACTTTCACTTTAGTATGGTGGACATTTTTAAGAAAACTGACTCCCCAACATCAATTATCTGGTTTTTTTTTTATTAGGTATTATTTTCCCTATTATTACATTTATCATCATTTTTATTATTGTAATTGATATAATTATTTTGTCAGAGGCAATTTCTAGTACCCTGGCTGATACGTACCAACGGTTGTACGAGTTACCCGACCCCAAACTACCAGTGAAATATCCACGGACTCCAGGTTACAGACCATCACCAGAAGACAACCCTTACAATGCTTGGTAAGTAAAATGTCAGAGAAACTTATTAATTCAGCGGAAACCCTAATTTATGACAAAGACCCCACTATGATATACTATTAGCGTTGGCACTTAGCTTTTCAATCAAACTCTGTTACGACGGGTATTTACTGAAAAATTCACATTGTTGATTCTAAATTTATGAATTTGAATCTGGACTTTCCAAGGTTATTAAGTGAAGAAATAATCCTTGCAACTGAACTGCAATAGAAGAAATTGCATAGAAAAGAAGTCTTACAAGATTCAGGCCCCAACAGGATTGGAACATGTCCTTCCCCTCCCAGATACTAGACGGGTGCACTATTGCTGAGCTACATCTTTAAAGCGAAGCAGTCATTTGATGAGATGGCTTCATAAATTGCTTTGCCTCGCTCCAAACATGTGGCTTCGTGGCTCTGTTTACTTGAGCTGTTTTTCAATCGCAGGTGGAAATATAATTAATTTGATTTTGAGGTACTGACGATGTAACATGAAAGGAGCGTCCAGTGACAAACTTCACGGCAAAACTATGGCGATCGCTTCCAACAAGTGCCATCGTTGCTCTGTTCACTAGACGTCTTTATCTTCCGCATGTAGTAAATAACTAATTTCATTTTCAGGTATTGGCGATGTGACATTAAGGGAGCATCAAGTGGTAAACTTCGCGGCAAAACTGTGGCTATCAAGGACAACACATGTGTGGCAGGAGTACCTATGATGAATGGTTCTCGTACCCTGGAAGGATTTGTCCCGGATGTGGATGCTACTGTAGTGTCTCGGATATTGGATGCTGGTGGACACATAGTGGGGAAAAGTGTTTGCGAAGATTTGTGTTGTAGCGGAGGTAGTTTTACTGCTGCCACTGGTCCGGTGGTTAATCCACACAATAAGACGAGAATGTGTGGAGGGTCATCATCTGGTTCTGCAGCTTTGGTGAGTAAAAAAGTAATAGGAAAATAGGAAAACCAAGAAGCAAGAAAAATGATTTCTCCTTTTCTTCAA